ACCCTTTGGCACTCTCCTGACTTGTCAGTAGCTACAAGAAGGAGCAGATGAACTGGCCAAGACGACAGGTTTGAAAATCCTCATATCCACCTGATTTCCACTATCTTGACACAGGCACACCTGCACGGGGCAAGTACATAAGGGTTCATGCCCTCACTCTCTCCAGCCCCTGCACTATTCCCATGGCAGCATGTAGGAAGGTGCCTTTCACGCCCACCTTCCTCTGCTGCCAGGGACTCAAGGAAAATATCAGGTGGGGGTGTGGAAATTTATATACACACACCTGCTGGGCTAGGGGAAAGAGATGCAGGAAGCTGCTGCTCCAGCCGCAGCACAACTAGCCATTGCACTACCCCGCTGGGTTGCATTTCATGTCCCTGGGCCTCCACAGCTATGGGAAATGGAGCTCTTGCTATCAGCTGCCTCTGCATTACAGATCAAAAAACCCAGGGTTACCCTTTCATCTGATCTTTCAAAAGATCGGCTGCATGGGGAAGAGATGCTCTTATTGGTGCTGCATTTTCTACCTTCACAAACTCCAAATGCTGAAAAAATCCAATTCCAGTTTTCACTTTACAGTGAAGATCTCTTGATCTTCCCCGAGCTATTTATAAGCAGCTTTAGTTAGAAGATAGCTAGAAAGTGGGGGAAATCCAGGCACTGTTCATGCAGTGAGTAGAGCACAGCTTGTGAGTAATTTTTAACTCACGCTGATGCTTTAAGCTGCTCCAGAGGTTTTGCTTTGACATAAATTAGCCATTTCCTCTCTGCAAAGTGAGAAATGCCCAGCTGTACAGGTCACACAGCAATAGCCTCTTACCCAGAGCTTGCCATCCCAATAAAACGCTCCCAGCAGCTTGACGATGTGCCGGTGATCGCAGGTTGCCAGTATTTCAATCTCCACCATGTAATCCTCCAGTTCATCTTCGCTCTTTGTTTCAATGACTTTGGCAGCCGCTAAAGCACCAGTTTCCTTATTCTTAGCCTGCAAGACAAAACGAGCGTGAGTGCAAAGGCGAGAAGAGCCAGGAGCATACAGTACTTGCACAATTCCTGCTCCTCCAATTCACGCTCAGCTTGACTGGTACCAGCCACAACACAAGCACGGAAACTCGCAGATGCATTTCTGCCTCCTAAACCTGCCTGTAGCTTTGCAGAGAGGATGAAAGCTGTGTAAGAGCCAAAGCATCCTCCTTCCTCCCTCCGGTCTCTAATGCCCACACCACTTCCTATCACGGAGAAAAAGAGGCTTTTAGAAAAGGAGATGCATCCTATTGTTTGTAGCATGAAAAAGATGGAAGCAAGAAAACCTCAGAGTATTAGAGGCTCTCTGCTAGTAGCATTGGTGATAGCTCCATTTAAGAGAAGTCCTGAGTACACAGACAATCTGACCAAATTCACAGTACAGCTGTGAACCATCTCCACCCAGAACATCCCTACACTCCCCTTCCTCACCAGAACCCTCACCAGGGCGGTTTTCTGTAACTCATGGGGGAAACGTAGGGATCACCTCCTTAGCAGGTAAACCAAGAAGGGTGCATTTTGATTTCCCAAGACTGACCGGCATT